ATTTTCATCCTCAAACTGGCATTTTTCATTATTAGTATATTTTCCTTGAACACAAAATTTGGCAGCCCTAATTTTCTTTTTCTGATTTGGAAAAAAAATCCACAGGTTTGTGCATAAAAAAGTGAAAGTTACATGCCATTCTAAAAAATATTATTCTGGTTGAAAATAAACTAGAGTCTTAGTGAGAATGTTTCAAGCTGTAGCCCATCTAATTTCCTAATTCATCCCCATCAAAAATGAATAAATAATAACTTCATCACTGTCATCCCGTTGTTCATCAATCTTCTCAAGCAGGTACCAGTAACGTCTCTATTCGTCCCAGTGCTGAGATTTTAGCAACCTCTCTTTACTTGTCCTTCCCTATGGTGCCATATTGGAGGCTCCTTCAGAGTCAGGGAAATGAGACCCATTACTGTTACTGTTTTTGGCATACCGAATATGCCAGAGGGAGCTTGCCAGGCTCTACCATGTGGGCAGGATACTCTCTGTAGCTTGCCAGGCTCTCCAATAGGGATGGAGAATAAATATAAGAGAATACGAGCAATACAAGTAAGTTAAAACCAAATACATATGTGCTTTAGGTACATCAGTGGATTAGAGTATAAGAGGTCTACCCTTATAGTGGCCTCGCTTCCAGGAGTTTTGTTTTATGGTCTCTGGATCTTTGCCATTGGTGGGATTACATGGTGTCAGGGTGTTTGTGGGTGTGACTGCCAAGCTCTTGGACGATGGGGGATCTAGGTGGAGGAGGGCCAGTTCAGATCCAAGTAGGCTTGGAGATTACAGCCCCTGTCCTGCATACCTGGGTTCCTCTTATGGTCCCTTCACGCATGAGGCTCAACTGAGCATGTGGATAATGTTCTTGAGCATGGCTATGGCTTGGGTTCTGGAGGGTTTTGGCTGCTGGGGTTCTATTTGGGGCAAGGAAAGAAACTTAACCTGCCCCACTCCGAGGGGCTCCGGTGAAGACAGCCTGGTGTGGGGGCAGGCTATCTAAAATAATAATTGAAAAAAAACTTCTTTGGGCTCTTTTAGATAAGAATGGTGCTTTGAGTACCTGGGTTCCACATCTTTTAATGTGTCATCTTGTTGTCAATAAACCTTTAATTACCTGTGACAACATCTGATTTGATTGGCCTTGGGAGGCAGCGGCAGCACCAAACCTTTCACAGTTACAGCAAGCTACGGTCTCTATTGTGCATCCATGGATGAGTTCTGGCTATTTCTTCACCAGACTGTCACATTTTTTTTATTATTGAAAAGGAGGACTCTGGGTCCAGAGCAATAGCAAATCAAATCAGGTAAAGTACTTGTCTTGTACAAAGCCAACGTGGATTTGATTCTGGGAATCCCATATTGTCCTATGAGCACTGTCAAGAGGAATTCTCAAGTACAAAGACAGGAGAATCCCCAAACACCACTGAGGACAGTCCAAAACAAAATTTTAAAAAATTAAAAGGAAGACCATTACTTTAAGTGGTTGAGCAAAATCCGCCTCAAAAGATGCCTAGTTTAGCCCCGATTTCAAAAATCTGGTAAGTTGAGTCCCTCTTCACAGTGATAATCAGACCAGGAGACTCTGGAAGCCTTGCTATTACACCACACACAGTTCCTAGGACTGGCATAGGGACCCCAGGTTTACCAATCTGGCCCAGCATAATACACATCCCAAGTTTCTACCACCCAAATTCCAAGAATTAGTCACAGTTACTCATTTAAGGATGAGCTTAGTATATATATATATATATATATATATATATATACAAATATATATATACACACACATATATATATGTCATTACCAGTTATAATTGACTCATGATATGTTATAATAGATTCAACTATTATATATTATGTATATATACATATATTTAAGCTTTTTCTGTAATTGGCTTAGAATATTTTACATACAATTTATTTCCTCTCCCAAATTAGGTACATGCCTCCTTCTTTTTTTTTAAATTAATTTATTTATTTAATCACTGTGGGAAAAGTTACAAAGCTTTCAGGTTTAAGTCTCGGTCATGCAAATATCAAACACATTTCCCTTTACCAATACTTATTTTTCACCACAAAGAACCCAATAAACCCCCCCTCCCAACCCTCCCAATGCCCTGAGGCAGGTGAATTCTAGTTTACACTCTCTCTCTACTTTGATTAGATTCATTGTTTTGACAAAAGATGCACCATTAGTATTTAGAGTTTACACCCCAAAATCAGACATGCTGAAAAGGCATTGTGAAATAGCTTGTTTTCTGCAGCTGGTCACAAGGATCAAATGTTGTCACGCGATAGCGGCTGCACGATTTTGGATTTCTGGTATTTTACTTATTTAAGCCTGGAAGTATTTCTGCTGAGAGTCAGATAATTATGAGATTGGTTTCTGTGCTCTGGAGGCATGGCCGTGCTGGAGAGCCGCTCGTGGGGGGTAACTTGTGACCTAGATAGGGCGTGAAGGACGAGCCCGGAACGCCCCCTTCCCATGAGGTTTCAGTCGCCCCCGACATGACCGGTTCATACCTAGCTTTCCAAAAAGCTCCGAGGCAGCCACCATCTTGCTGTCGAGAGGGAGAAAGGCAGAAGGGAGCAACATCCTTTTCCCTCCGGGAAGGCATGGTGGTGTGGATTAATGCATAGTCCATTCACTTTACTGCCGCAAGCTGCCGGGTTCTGCATTAAGTCCTTGTGCTTCTGTAGGAATGTCCGTGCCACATGCCTCCTTCTTATTCCCTCCTATGACTAACTAATCTATATAAAGCAGAAGTTCCCTGTGTAAAGCTGCCTGGAAATATACTAGGAAAAAAAATTCCCAGAAAACAGACTAGGGTGGTAGTACACTGGGTAGGGCACTCACCTTCCTTGCAGCTGACCCAAGTTCAGTCCTCAGCATCTCAGATGGTTCCCAAACCTCTCCAGGAGTAATCCAAGAACACAGAGCCAAGAGTAAACACTGAGAACCACAGGTGTAGCTCCCCCTCAAAAAGAAAGTTTCCCCTAAGAATGCTAGACAAGCTTCTTTCCTTTGTAGACCTCAGCTGTATCCGTCTGATCCACATATTCTCTTTAAATACACAGATTTTGCTCCGCTTAAGCAGGCTCACCATCCAGGTCAATTATTTTACCACCCTAGGGCTCAGGCCAAAGGTGGGAGCTGCAGTGTCTGGGACCCAGTACCTCCTCCTATCCCTTCATTACCCGTGCTAATGAAGTCTGTAGTCACTGAATTGCCATATCCCTTCTGCAGCTTTGTGATGATCTTAAGCAAGAGACTTTGTTACCAGGAAGGAGAAGCAGTGGAAGACTCCCTAGCTAATCTATTTAATTTAAATACAATTGGTCATTTTAAATCTCATTAACTTGAAGGCAACCTGTCAACTAAGAAAAGAACCTTACCCTTGAACTTAGTTGTATCTCAGTATTCTGAGGGATGGCAGGAAAAGCAACACCTGTCCAAAACACTAAACTAAACTGAAAGCCAAAGGGGCAAAGAGCAGCAGACACAAGCAAGGAAAGTGAGAGATCTGCAGAAACTTGTAGGAACAAAATCCAGAGAGACTTATGCTGGCCAAGTACAGCATGTGTGGAACCTAAGAGAAACCAACAAAAGGCCTGGACATAGGGCACAGAACAGGGACCCCAAAAGACCCCCTTAAAGCTGTTCAATATTAACTTTATAAACCTCTGGAGTTTTGTCTATTTATTTTACAAAATTTAAAGATCCACACTCAGAAATTCAGTCAGTTGTGTGATAACGAATCTAACTCTGTCCTCTGATTCCTTTTTCCTTTTTTGAGGAGGGTTAAGCAGACAGAGCAGTGCTCAGGATTTACTCATAACTCTCCACTTAGGAATCACCCCTGGTGGACTTGGGGGACCATATGCAGTGCTTGAGATTGAAAAGGGGTTGACCTTGTAGAAGTCAAGGCCCCATGCACTGTACTATTTTTTCCAGTCCCTCAATAGCTTTTATTATGCAGGGTTATAATAAAGATGAAATGGGTAGATATATGTAAATTTTTTTTAAAAATTCTCATCTAGAATAATTTCCATAACTGTGAGATCTCTAATCACTTTTTGTTCTTGTTTTTGTCATTATGGACTACTCAATTCTTTTGCCATGGTGGGTGCTGACGAAGGACAGTAAAGTACATGCCTCCTTTCAAGCTGAACCTTGGGGGATTTTAAGATTTTAGTATCAAAGAAATTTCTTTAAAATGGAGATATTAAGTATCTAATAAACTTGGTATTACCTTAAAGAAAAATGTGTGCCCAAGGCTACATCTCCTGACACTGTTTTTTTCTGATTTCCTCAGCACTAGGTAAGAGATTACTCAGAAGGCACCAAAGCCTTCATGTGGAGTCCTTTCCTGCTGGGAAGAAAACTGTTCTCATCTCTCTCCTCTGAAAGTCCTCCTAGCATGAACACTCAATTTCTTCTGTGAAGTGTATCTTGGATTTTAACTCGACCTGTAGAAGTGTAAGTAATTAATGGCTGGGGGCACCTGGCACTTGAAAGAAAACAAAACAAAACGAACACTGAACAATCAAGCATCTTGATTTAGATGCAAACAAAATTATTTAAATTCGATGGGTTCTCACTGGGGCAAGCTAATGTTTAGCACTATAGCACAGTCCTCCCATTGTTCAATTTGCTCAAGTGGACACCAGTAATGTCTCCATTGTGAGACTTATTACTGTTTTTGGCATATCAAGTATGTCACAGGGAGCTTCCCAGGCTCTGCTGTGCAGGTGGCATACTCTCTATAGCTTACTGAGCTCTCCAAGAGGGGCCGAGGAATTGAACCCAGGTCGGCCTCATGCAAGGCAAACACCCTACCCACTGTGATATCGCTTCAGCCCAAGCAAATGTTTAAGGTTCAAAATTTAGAGACTTGCAAATTCTGAATGTTAAACTAATTTGACATTTTGTTCTCTTCTGTAAAGACATAGCAACAGAAAGTACAAAGAGAAACTCTGAATGAATATCTTTTCTTTTCTTCTCAGGGAGAGTGCAAACACAGTCCTCCAGTATCACAAATTATACAGTCAAGTTTCTCACATTGGGAGAAAACGAAGGGTTCAGCTCAATGCTGAGTGCAATGGATAAGTCACGCCCTGGAAAAAAACATCTTTATGATCATGGTATCTCCCCTGCCAGGTAAGTATAAAATTCTAAAAACTTTTAAAAACATTCTTGTGATGAACATAATCAGCCTAATTCATCCAAACTTCTGTGCAATATGCTAATTTCACCTGGAAAAATGATTGTATCTTCAAAATTTCAAAATATCTCAGTGTCCCTGTCCGTTCTTTGTCTTGTCCTCAACTCCTCTGAGGTCAAACAGGAAAACCCAGTCAAGAGTCTCGGAGTTGAAACTATTCTTCTTTTGTGGGTTCTGGATTTGGTTTGAGAATTGGATGAAATATAACAACTTTATGCCCAAAAATGTAGTGTACTCACATGAGCAGCAATTGTTTATCATTTCAAGGCATCTCACATAATTTGATCACACAACATAGAGCACTAGTTGAGGGTTCAGGTAGGATTTACTATGACAAAATTGAGATAAGTTGGAGTGAGATGGAAAATAAAAAAAAATTTATTGGATCAGGGGAAGACTGATGCCAAGTCCTGTGCCTTAAGTAGAAATTGGAAGTAAACCCTGTTCACGCACTGTCCTCCCGTTGTTCATTGATTTGCTCAAGCGGACACCAGTAATGTCTCCATTGTGAGACTTGTTACTGTTTTTGGCATATTGAACATGCCATGAGGAGCTTGCCAGGATCTGCTGTGTGGGAAGGATACTCTCGGTAGCTTGTTGGGCTCTCAGAGAGGGATGGATGAATTGAACTTGGGTTGCCCGCGTGCAAGGCAAATGACCTACCTGCTTTGCTATCGTTCCAGCCCTATAGACAATAAATCAACCCAGAATCTGAGTGAATCCCAACAGGTAGTGAATTACTCCCAAGGACAAATGGGCCTTATTAAGCTGTGGGAAGTTGGGGACCAAAAGATTGTGAGAAGGTTGTCAAAAATATCAGATGGGGACCAAAAGATTCTAATAAGGTTGTCAAAAATAGAATCTGAGAGACTGTAGACAAGAGGAGCTTGGGGGCTAAAAAACAACTCTAGGCAAATATCTCTAGCTATGTAAAATTTTTCTGTAGCACAGTGTACTATCACCAAATATATTATTATATCTTCTTTGAAACACACTGTAATACACCCTGTGTAAATAAGGCTGGGCCTGTTTATTAATGTGTGTGTTTGATTGTGAGTGCAACTGTGTGTGTGTGTGTGTGAGAGAGAGAGAGAGAGAGAGAGAGAGACAGAGAGACAGAGAAAGGTGTGGTGCCTTCTCATCATTGTATTTTTTCACTGTATTAACGCTACAATTGAAAAAGTGGGGTTCAAAGATAAGGTCACCCTGGAGGATATGTTCAGCAAATGTATCACAGTATCCATCATATTGGCAGATCAGATAAGAGCAACCCTAAGGCTTTAAGAAAAATTATGTGAGTTAAAAACAGTGGGAAGGGAGCAATATAAACCTTCATATCCCAAACAATTTCTCAAGCGGGCCCAGTAACGTCTCCATTGGAGACTTTGTTGTTACTGTGTCTGGCATATCGAATACGTCACGGGGACCTTGCCAGGCTCTGCCGTGCAGGCGAGATAATCTCGGTAGCTTGCCGGGCTCTCCGAGAGGGGCGGAGGAATCGAACTCGGGTCGGCCATGTTGGCTGCGTGTAAGGCAAACGCCCTACCGCTGTGTTATCGCTCCAGCCCCCTAACATGGGCTGGAGCGATAGCACAGCGGTAGGGCGTTCGCCTTACAAGCGGCCGGCATGGCCGACCCGAGTTCGATTCTTCTGTCCCTCTCGGAGAGCCCGGCAAGCTACTGAGATTATTCGATATGCCAAACACAGTAACAACAAAGTCTCCAATGGAGACGTTACTGGGCCCGCTTGAGCAAATCGACGATCAACGGGAGGGTCTTTACCTTTACCTTTTATCCCAAACATGAGCAACTTTGTAAGTGTGTATCTCACTGTGATTCAATTAAAAGAGGGAGAAAAAAGAGAAAAGAAAGGCCTCTAAAAGGTGGAACTTAAAAGTTGGTAAGGCGTTCAGTCTTCCAACACAAAAGTAGCTGCTCACAGACTCTAAGCAGAAATGGAATGTGTTTTTTCACCAAAAGCTAAAATCAGCTGCTATTTTGGAACTGTGCTCAAAAAATACTTATAAAATGAATGTAATTTCTTCCAATCAAATGATATATTGAGAACCTGTTGAAAGCTTAAATCTTAGCCAGAGTTTCAAATTCTATCCTCAGTGCTTTGTAATTGAAGGCCAGGTTAGAATATAAGTTTAACTACCTAATAGCTATATGCATTTGAATAACTTAGCTGCTCTAAGTTCAAGTTTCCTTAGAATAGCCACATATGATTGCGGGGCATATTTGTGGTAATTATACAGTGACAAAATCTGACACATAGTAGGCATTCAATAATGATAACCACCATTATGATAAAGAAGACTTGGTGAGTATAATACCTTGCATTGAATCACAATTTGGCAATTTAAGAATTAGGAGGGAAAAATGGTGCCTACACAATAGCACAGTGGGTATGGTGATTTTCATGCACACAGCTAACACAGGTTCAATCCCAGGCACCCCATATGGTCCTTTGAACCTCCCTGGAGTGATATCTCAGCACAGAGACAGGAGTAAGTTCCAAGCAATGACCGATTACCTTTCTTTCATTACCTTATTGTCCCCACAGATAGATGAACACAGATTTGGATATATGATAGTTTCCTATTTAGTTGTATTTTAATTGCAACAAGATGTAAGAAAGCATGTGGCTGGAAAGTCTAAGAAAATGGAATCATATTGTAGGCAATGTAAAGGAAAAGAAAAGGTAAGATGACTAAGACAGATGTGAACATTGTTCTTAGATATTTGTTGTAGCTCTGCACTGTAGCACACTCTCCTCCCATTATTATCGATTTTCTCGAGCGGGCACTGTGAGACTTGTTGTTACTGTTTTTGGCATATTGAATACACTATGGGGAGCTTGCCAGTCTCTGTCATGCAGGCAGAATACTCTTGGTAGTTTGCTGGGCTCTTCGAGAGTGGTGGAGGAATCGAACTCAGGTGGGCCACATGCAAGGCAAACGCCCTACCCGCTGTGCTACTGCTCCGGCCCATTTGTAGTAGAATAATAATTAAAAAGTCAAGTGTCCTGGTCATGGATACTCCAGTGAGCAGAGAAAATGTGAATAGTTTGCTAGTACTTGGGAGTGACCCCTTTTTCCCTACTAATTACTAATTATATCTTTCACAGAGAAAGAGTGTGGTCCTATGGTTATAGTCTGGTCCTGTGTTTATATTATACAATGCTTATGAGCAGCGGAATATTACTTCTTTTAAAGACTTAAGATTTAGTTGTCTGAAAGCTGTAGGAAATGTGAACAAGTATTTAGGCTTAGCAGTTTTACAGGTAAAATCTCAATGTATGGGTCCCTTTTCTAATTCTGTAGCAGAAATCTAGTACAGAGTAAGAGCCATCAACCCTATTATATCAAAAAAGACAAATAAAAGAACTGTATTTCTGCTCTACCTGATTTGAAAATTAAAGATTAGATTGGAACAGATATGCAATCAAAGCCAGGATCCTTATCTAAACTGATCTTTGAGCTGCTAAATTGGGTAGAAAATGCCATCTGAATAGATCATTGCATCTTCCTTGGGCTTTGTAGCAATATCACCTCAAAAGTATATACATTAACACATTGTCACCTTTATTTTTAAACCAAGTCTTCTCAAGAATATATCAAAATTAGAATGGGAGATATGGAAATAAGGAAAAATGATGGTATTAGATAAAGCTCTGCATAAGACAGAATTAATTGTTGCTTGACATCCAACTAACAGTAACCTACTAAGATGATTTTCATGAGCATAAATATAAGCCAGAGTAAACTTAGAAAATCTAAAAGGAAGAATTAATATGTCATTGCATTTCAAAGTTCAAATATGTCCCTATGCTTCCTCCTCATACTAAACCCAAATAATCCTTGATCACTTATCTGTACAAATGCTGTGGAAATCTTACACTCAGGAATTATACAATTTTAAAGAAAATTATAAAATTAAGCAAATTATAAAGATCGTGATAAAGATCAATACATTAGAAATATGTTCACATATTTCTTATAATTCATATAAGTATAAATATAATTTCATATAGTTCTCATATATTCTTATTTATGCTATTTATATAATAGCAGACAATCAGTGCAAATATTACAAACTTTATTTGCAAAATACTAATGACATCTGTGGCAAAATTGAGACCAGGAATTTTTTTCTGTTGTTCTACAGCTTTACTATGGTACTAAATATTCAAATAAAAATATTTTTGTTATATATTATAAGTAGTAGTATTTCTGTTGCAATTAGCACACAATTATATATATGTCATCTATGTACCTTCCACAATAATTTATATTTGTGCAAAAAACAGAAATATTTAACTCAAATAATGTATCAACAAGGGTGAGGATATCAATAAAGTTATACATTCTATTCTTGAGTTTATTTTGTCTCACTTGTTAAGATGTTTCTTGGATTAACTTTACTAATCAAATTCACAGTGCTTTAGTCCCTTTATTACTAAGTGACAATCTGTGCTTAATTATTACAGTCTTTCTTGTCTAGATCTTTTATCAGACTACAAATAGCTAGAAAAGATTTGGTATATAAAACTTAAGCTAAAGCACTTTGGTTGTCAAAGATGAAAATCAAGAATATCATTTGGGTGAAATCTTGTATATACAAACATATGTGCATTCCATGTATGTGCAATATGTCATCATTATGCTTTTTATTTAAATATCTTATCAGTTCTGTCAGAGCATTATTCAATATCTATTTATGTATCTATAGCTAGATACATATTTTTCCATATTGATAACACTCCGATGTTAAAAACAAAATAACATATTCTACTGGTGACTTGCGATGTTAGAAAGCACTTCAACCTTGTTTGATAAACTTCAAAATGCAGTGATATGTAGTATAAATTTTGTTATCAAGAATGTGTTAAAGGAAAACTTGCAAATGAATGCACATATGCACACACAGGCACATACTCGC